TATACGTCTAAAATTACCCATGTCATCATATGGGCCCTCTCACGGTTGGGAGTATATCAAATCCTGACTACTCTGTTCTTTTGCCTACACACACCAATTGGAATGAATGTCAGCACAAACTTCAGCTAAAATACTAAATTATTATGATAACTAAAATGTCCTCACCTATCTTCCTAATGAAGTAATGTCTAGATGTTGCAAGTTCCCCATGTCAGCTCTACCACCTCTACCTCCCCTAACAGACTTCCCCTCCCCCTTGTTCTACCACCCCTATCAGACATTCCACTTGTACTACCATTTGTTGTTCTTGATGATGACCCAACTTGATAAGTTGTTGGAGTGTGATAGGGCATGTATGAGTCTACAACAACTTGTGTAGAAATAGCCCCTCTCCTAGGTGGAAAGACTTTCTTACTTGCAGTCTGGGTAGAATCATGATCAGCAAAAGGCCTCTCTGTACCTACAATTCAAATACCCTACATAGTACACAGTACACAAATAAAATACCCTTCATAAGTTCATCTGTGTTGAGGCTTGTGTGATTTTACCATTGGAGTCTCTTTGTTCATATTCCGAGGAGGAGCTCTGTAATTCCTTCTGTTTGTGCCCTGTTATACCACAAATTGAACACCTGATTGTCTTACGTTCTAGTGGGGCACAATATAATGGGGTTGCTTCATCATCTTCTCTTCTTCTTCTGGTTAGGGGTCGACCTAGCCTCCTCCTCACTATGGGAGGTCTAACTGGGTGGTGTTGCATTTGTTGCTAGTATTTTTGTCCCGGAAGAGCATAAATAAAATGAATATACACCTTTGCATAGGTTGCCTTGTGGAAGGCCTTGTCACATAAGTCCTCCACCCTACCTCTTGTAAAAGTAAGCACTACAAGTGCATGAGCACAAGGTATGCCACTTATATCCCAAACCTTACATGTGCATGACATTACTTCTATCTTGGTGGCATTTTCAACCAAGTCAGCTCCTAGTGTTTGATACTCATATTGTCCTGATTGGAAAACCTTAACAGACTTGTTAATGCATTACACAATAAGTAAATACATGTATAATGAATTGCCCAAGCCAACAAAAACAACAAGTATATGGGCAATAAACATCACCAAGCTTCCCTTCTTCTCTTGTTAATGATTGTTTGCACCTTCGGCAACAGATCAGACCTAGGTGCAATGAATGCCTTGTGTCTATAATAAATCTTCTGCATCTATCTTTTCCTTATGTCCTCCAACATTTCAACAATAGGCATTACTCTAGCCTTCCCAATCCACACATTAAATGACTTTATCCAGTAGTTTGTTATGTTATTAGACTTAACTAATGGGTCAAACCCATGCCTAGACCATGTATCAGGGGGGGATTCTGCTAATCCATTCAAATGCATCTCTAGATATGCTTTTGATTACTTCCATGTAATGAACAAAGTCAGTATGGGTATATGATTTCCTAACAAACCATATGGCATCCTTCAATACCTTCTCCTTGAAGAGTTTTTTTAAATTGCTATATAAATGTTGTAGACAAAACCTATGATTTGCACCAGGCATGCAACATGATATTGCTTCAACAATGCCTTGCAAACAATCATCACATTTATTAGTGTTAGTTGTAATCAAAACAAAGGAAATTATGCATTAACTACAAACAAATATATGCATACATTCTGTCTATTCGACATAAGTGTCCACCTGTGCGGGTCATCAATACCCAGAGCATTTCTTAACTCAACCAAAAACCATGTCCAATTGTCTTTGTTTTCAGCTTCCACCATAGAATGTGCAATAGGAAAAATGCCATTATTGTCATCAATCCCTACAACTATGAGTATTATACCCCCTATTGCACCAGTCTTGGTGTGGCAACCATTCAGTCCAATAATCTTTCTGTAATTATCCAAGAACTCATCCCTTGGACCTGCAAGATATATGAAAACTCTCTTGAAAACCCCATATGTGTCTTCTTCTGAGATAAGTGGGGCATGTAGCTTCACAATAGACCTAGGGTTGCTTGCAAGCAAGGTTGTACAGTATTGAGGGAGTATTGCATGTAAATCCACCAATGATCCCCTGATCCTATCAATAACCTTAAGCTAGCCCTATGTATTTTCCTCTAGGTGACATTTATCCCAAACATTCTCCTAATTTCAGATCTAAGCACGCTGTTTGACATGGTAGGATCAACCCTTAACATCCTTTCAATCTTTGTTGATAGCCATGTATTTGTTCCCTCCCTATTTGTAATCACCCTGATACAACTATGTGTATCATTGAGGGTCTTCACTATGAAACTGCCTCCATCATGGCTAAGGAATGCATGAATCATCGAGCCACAGTCAATTGCAGCACACACCCTAGTAAAGCTACACTTCTCATTTTTCTTTCTTTTGATCTCTATACCCTCCACCACATAATACTGCCTCAATGCTTACCTAAACTCTTTTACATTGATAAACTCCATACCAACCCAAAATCTTGGTTTGGAAAAGTCAAAATCTCTTGTATTGCCCCTTTTCCCTTGGACTGTCATACTCACTGATAGGCTCATAGTCAGACAAATAAGCATCACCACCATCATGTACACCCTCATTACCACCGCCCCCACCATCATCATCCGAACCCTCATGATCCCCACCACCCAAACCCTCTTGATCCCCACCATCATCATCTTCATAATCCTCACTATCATCATACAAACCCTCAAATTCCCCATCATCAACATCATGATGACCATCTAACCCCTCATCATTGCCATGACTATGATCAGCTACACCTCCTTCATCATCAACTACATATCAGCCAACATCATCTTGCAATTGTTCATTTCCCTTGCCACTACACCTATCATCCATACTAACACACTTGGATTCGATATAAGTAACATAGAACATTATCTCACGGAGGTCCTTGTGGATGGCAAAAATTTCCATCACTTCATTTTCACAACCAAGAACACTTAAATGCTCATCTAAATCCCATCCTGGTATTTTGTAGTTGATAGTCACTGTGCTTCCAGGAGGTATAACAGTCAATGAGCAGAAGTCATTCAAGATGTCTAATTAACATATTCTATCACTGTCCACATTATCCACATGTCCAACCTAACCACTTACGTATGATAACTTCCCATCTGTGGTCTTCCACTGACCACTATAATTGATGATAAACATATATCTACTCCCATCTATCACCTATATCATAGATAGGGGCAAATATAGTTACAACATAAGCTACACCATACTCTACAAAATAAACTACACTACAATCTACACCATAAGCTACACTATGAACTAGAACATATAAGCATACACAAGCTAAATTCCTCATCTATAACATTCCAATCATGGGCCTTACATTTATTTATTGGTATTGACAGTTTCATTTTGAAATAGTGTTTCAAACATTTTGTCGAGCACCTAGACCCACGTGTGGATCCCATGTGTATGAATTAAAACAGACACATGGGTTCCAACACACCACATATATCTAGATCTATGAGTGGTCCCCCAAAACCTAGCTATCTACCTCAATTCCAAGTGCCATTTTACCTGGATTTGTCAACAAATCCCTATAAGTGGTCCCCAAAAAACTAGCTAAAAAACATATAAAAAGCTGTACCATACCCTTGTGATGATAGAAAACGCAAGCTTTTAATATTTGAATCCAATTGCAAAACAGTAAAAAGTTGTAAGAAAAAATTCTAAGAACTAGCTCAGAGAGATGACAAATGTCATCCTTCCACTGAAAAAACATGACGGAAACGCATGGTTTTTCATACAAACCTGTTGTGCACCGTCATACCACCTATTGGAATTTGCAGCGAAAGTCATGGAAGGTGACTGTGGATCTTCTCTGCTAGAACAATGATATTCTTCTCCGCTAGAATGATGATAAACAACATTCAGGCGAGAATAATCCTTTAATCGATCCCTCATTAAGGAAGGGTAAAAACGTAATTTGCAAAATGGGTTCAATTTGAGTGAGAGTTAATGGAAGGGTAAAAACGTAAAATCAACTTTTCTGTCTCAATTTAACGACGATGACAATTGTCAGAAAACTTATAGGTACAACAAGGCAATAGCTAAACAGTGAAGGTACCGCATGCCAATTAGCTAAACAACAGGGGTAATTTAAGAGGTTTACCCTTTATTTAATTATCATATATATTTTTTCCATTTTTAATGCTTTAATATTTTATCTTCTTTGATTTAGTGTAGTTGATGATAATGAGACCAAGGAATCGAAGGGATTGGAGGTGCACTTTTCTAAGTAAAAAATTCTTGAAGGATCATCATTTGAAGTTTCAAGTCTATTAGAGTTTTAGGAGGAACAAATTTAGAAATGATGGAATGTGTTTGAACTTAAAGTTATTTTGATTTTTTATTTAATTTTTGTTGGAAGTTTATAACATTTGCATATATCCTTTGGCCATCTAATTAGTAATCATCTATTTAAGTTAATTTTTTTCTTTGGTATTCAATCTTTACTTTTATTGTTGACTTTTTTAATTTTATAGTTTTTTGTAGTTGTTGGTAAATTTATTAGAGGGAGAGTCAATCTTCCCTTTCATAAAGATCAATTGAATGCAAACTTTCTTTTCAATATTAGAATTTTAGATTAATTCATTTAATAGTTTATTTGGCATCTTCAATTCTTCATGTTTCATTTTTTAAAATTTCAATAATTGATAGAGTTGAACCAAATTGACCCATAGGTCAACCCTAACCTGAATGTTTAGGGCCAGGGTCTAGCATTCTCTAACCCAACCTGAAACTAACCAGAAAATGCATTGGCCCAATCCGAACCGACCGATTGCCAGGTCTACGTCAGGTTTAAGATTCCTTTTAACACGTGTCTCTTGATAAGCCCATCTGAACTCACGAAAGGGATTCTGCTTTGACATACAAGTGGCAACTTGAATCAAACTACCGGACGAAGACGTTACCCAAAAAAAAAACTAACTGCTGAAGAATTCTAATTTCACAATATCTGATCGACGGTCACAATTATTCTTTGAATATCTCAAGACTCAAGGTTCCAATTAATCGGAAAGAAATTTAAGGCCATTTCGTATTTTATCCCAGCCAGACTCATCACAATCTTCGCTTGGAGTCCGTATTGCGCGCGGAAGTTGCTTCGTCTCGTCAGCGGCCTCTTCTCTGGTTTCCTGTTTTATGCTCACAGCCAGGTTTTTTCTCTACTTCTGATCTGATTTTCTTTTGGTTTGATATGTGGACAGAAAACAAACTTCAATACAAAGATCCGAGCTTCATTGGTTCTTATCTTGAATTTGATTATTACTTGAAATATTGATCACAGTTCCTGATCTTCCATACGTTCCTTTTTGTTTACTTGTTTTTTCTGTTCCGCTGTTATGGTTCTTTGAGAATTTGCTTGAATGACTCAGTGGACTTGGTTGACAACTGAAGTAGGAATGAAAATTCTGGCTTTTCTGAAGAAAAAAAAAACAATGGAAGTTCTTGCAGCATGTAGAGAGACTATTGGAGTTTGAGTGGTTCGTACCACTACAATTTCATCCACTAAACCCAATAGCGAACCAGGACAATTTTTTCCTTGTTTTTATATGGTAATCAAATTAAACAAAATGAACATGAACAGAAAATTAAGCAAACATTTTACAATCCACAAGAGACTAGAGAACCGTTCTTTTAACGTGGTGAAACCCCAAACTGGGGAAACATCCACGGCCAATAGATGGCAAAATTTCCACTCAAATGATTAAGGAAGAAGTGCAATCGGGAGAGTGGTTACAGACCACTTACCAATGGGTACTAGTCATTCGACAACCCCAAGATTCCATCCTTCTTCTTTCCCAAAACCTCTGTTTTTTCTTCTCCATACTTTTTTTTTTTTTCAAAGTTTCCACTAAAATGATTAAAAAAGAAGTACAATCAGGAGAGATGGTTACAAACCTCTTACCTATGGGTACTAGTCATTGAACAACCCAAAGACTATCCTCCTTTCCCAAAACCTCTGTTTTTTTTGTCCTTCCCTTTTCGCCAGCAGTGGGATGATGGAGCGGCTGTAGTCTGTGGAATTTCTGAAAGTTGCAGATAGTGATGAGATTTAAGCTGAAAGAGGAAAGGTGACTCTCAATCTGGCAATCAAGGGAGTTATGGTTCTGCTGTATTGAGAGATGAGGGAGAAGAGTGTAGTTCTCCTAGGAGTGAGAGAGATGGAAATGAGCGCTTTGATGCCTCTTTGAGAGTGGTTGAATTTTCTGACTGTTCTGATTTTTTAGATTGTTCTGATTGTCTCTAATGAGATATGATCTGCGCTTTTATTCTTGTTTTGGAAGCTTCTCGATTAATCTTTTTGTATAGTTGTTTGCACACCTTTAGGGTGCCACGAGAAAAGTGAGGTTATGATTGGCATAGGAATATCTTTTGTCAGAAAGGTATCCCGGTTAGATATGTCAGGTCAGCATAAGTAGTTATGGGAAAGGAATGTGGGATGGTACTAGACTGAGCATCTTTTCTTAGGTCCATGCACATCTCCCAAATGCAGACTCGGCCACATGTTGTTGTCTGTGGTGCTGTTTCACATATCAAGATATTTGAAGGATGGCGTTTCATAGTGCTTTATCGGATAGGGTGGCTGTTTTGCACACCCATTCAGACTTGCCAGTAGTGTTGGACATCTATGCTCTTACGCCCATGTAGAGCATTGGGAACGTTGTGGTCATGGAACCAACCTCACATCCTACTTTCCCCCTATCAATTTCAGATCAGGCCTTTCCCATTGGAAAGCTTTTGGTTCCTCAAAAGCTCCTTAATTAGATGAGGAAATTTTTCCTTCACCTTTTCCATGGAAAACCACTTTGGGGTTAAAAAAAAAGACATACCCACAAGATTTCTTCTTCTCCATTTCTTGTCATTCTCGTCTTATTACCAAGTACAAGGCCTTTTGTAGCCTGCTTAATGGGAACGGATCATGTATTGTCGGTAAGATGGTGGTGTTATCTCTCTCATTGAGGATAGATGGTTCAAATAACTGTAAATTCTCAACATTTACCATTGAGTACATCTGCATATACTGGGTAGATCAAGTTTTAAAGCATTCTGATCATTTTGTTCTTGGTCTGGTTACCAAGAACAGGCAGTGGTCTGCCTTGGCCGAATGATATAAGGGTGGCCTAAACTCTATTTGTGGATTTGTAGATCCAGAATTTTGTGAATGTTGAACCTCTGTAGGTCACGAATGACCTGGTTCAATTTACTGAAGTACTAGAGCAGCCCTATTGATGCTTTGTGTGGCCTGTACTAGCCTCGGTGAGGTCTGGTAGACCTGTTAATGTGTGTAACTTCTTTTTGATTCAAAGAAAAAAATACTCTTCGAAGTATGGGCTGCTGTCCTCTGTGCGGACTGTAGGAGAATTGGTGATCATTGATAAGTGATTACTTATGGCTTTTGAAGACTACAACTTCAGGATCCACTTTAAATCAGAGTGGTTTGAACAGTGGCCATGATACAACAAACTTCCCAATGACTATTACCCCCTTAGATGGTAGAAATTACTTGGGATGGTCCAAGGAGATGTGGCTGTACATTATAGCTAGGGGTAAAGCTGGATATATAAATGGAAAAGTGAAAGAACCTAGGGCTGGCAGTGCTGAATATGACAAATGGGACCAAGAGAACTGCTTGATTATGCCTTGGCTTTTGACATCCATGTTACCCTCTGTTAAGCAGAACTTTATTTGGGCTGAAACAACAAAAGAAATATGGGACCAAGCAAAGGCCACTTACTCAAAACAAAGACATTATGCCGGAATCTATCAGCTTCAAAGAGAATCCTCAACATGTAAGCAAGGGGAAAGGAGTTTATCAGCTCACTATTCTGCACTCACTTAAGTTTGGGAAGAGTTAGATTACTACCAAAGTATTGAGTGGGAGAGTGAGAAAGATGCTAAAGCCTATGAACAATTGGTCTCTCAACAGCGTGTCTTTGCCTTTCTACTATGTATGAACCTATCAGAGTGCAGATTTTGGGCAATAAGGACCTCCCTTCTGTCCAAGAGGTGTATTCTCTAGTGCAATTTGAGGAAAGTAGGAGATCAACCATGAATGCTCCTAAGGGTGAGTCTATTGCTCTAGTAGTAAGAAATAACCCAAGCTCGACAAAAAGCGGGGGGGGGGGGGAGGTTAGAAAAGAGTGGATGATAAAGATAAGTTGTGGTGCACCCATTGCTAGAAATCCAGGCATACTTGTGAGACTTGTTGGGAACTGAATGGAAAACCTAAATGGGCATAAGAACTGAGCAAGAAATCAACACAGGAACAGGACAAGAAACCAAGTCAGAAGAAGTTCACTTTAGCAAACTTAGCATCTCAAGAGTCTTAGAATAATGTTTCTACAATGAGTTCTACTCAAGGTTGCCCTCCTAGTTCTGATCTCAGGGAGGATATTATTTTTTTTGGAAAAAGGTAAAGTAACTCCATGGATTATTGATTCTGGATCCACACCTTTGACTTCTTTTGCTTCCTCCTCAAGTAACTCAGCCTTTGCTTTCCATGTATCTAGTGACACTCTAGAATCTCCATGGATTATTGATTCAGGTGCTTTAAACCACATGACTGGTAAGTCAACCCACTCTTTGAACTGTTCAGTAACCTTTTTTCTACATTCTTGTGTTTTTCAAGATTTGGCCTTTGGGAGGACGATTGGTAGAGGAAAGTTAAGAAACATGATTGATGGCCTCCATGTGTTGGAGAATAAAGTTGGTCTTGTAGTCTTAGAGTTTGTGTGCTAGTTGAGTAAGAGTCAAGTTGTTTGGTGGCACCATAGTTTGGACCATATGTCTTTTGAGTCCTTAAAATACTTATTTCTAGAATTGTTCAAATCTGTGTCGGTTGATGATTTTCAGTATTAAGTTTGTCAGTTGAGTAAGTATTGTAGAACTTCATTTTCTTTACGTAATAAAAGATTAGATTTTCCCTTTTATCTTGTGTATTATGATGTGTGGGGCCCTGTTAATATTCCAACTGAGAATGGTTACAAATACTTCATCTCTTTCATAGATGACTATTCTCGGTACACTTGGGTTTACTCTATGCACTCCCGAGAAGAAGTCTCTAAACTTGTGAGAGATTTTTAGTGCATGGTCTATACACAATTTTAGACGGAAATTTGTGTTTCAATCAGACAATGCAAAAGAGTACTTCCATGGTGATCTCACAGAATTTTTTGCATCCAGTGGCTCCCTTTATCTGAGCTCCTATGGAACCCTGCAACAAAATGGGGTTGTAGAGAGAAAAAATCATCATTTTCTTGAAGTTGCTCAAGGATTACTTTTGCAGATTAATGTTCCAAAAAGATTTTGGGTGGATCCAGTCTTGACTGCTACTTATGTTATCAATAGGTCGCCATCTCGGTTACTGGGATATAACTCCCCTCATCAACTCCTCTTCCCTAAGGCCCCATTATTTCCTATACCCATGTGAGTCTTTGGTTGCTAGTGTTTTGTTCATGATTTATCCTCTACTCGTGGTTTGACCCTAAGGCTATTGTTTTTGTTTTCCTTGGTTATCCTCTTTCTCAAAAGGGCTATCGTTGCTTTGATCCTACTTCAAAAAAATACTTTGTGTTCATGGATGCCACTTTCTTTGAAAATGTTCATTTTTTCCCGTTTCTCTTTAGGGGGAGAGTTCAGGTGAGGAGAAACAGAAACAAACATAGGATTTTTTACCTTCTCCTCCTAACCCTCCTCCATTCCGTGTCTTCCATAGACAGTGCTACAAAAACCAAGGCCAACAAGGTTCAACAGTCGTGGAGCAACATGAAACTATGTCACCAATGCCATCAGACTTTTAGAGGTTAGATCCCTAGCTCCATCCAGGTACCATTGTTCTAGTTGTTATTGCTAAACCTATTGATGTTGATATTTGTGATCTGAACCTTCCTATTGCAAAAAGGAAAGATGTTAGGTTGTGCACTACCCACCACTCTATGGATCATTTCTTATATATGAAAACATCTCACCCTCATTTCATGCCTTTCTTTCTGGCATTGATACCCTCTTCCTAGGAGTGTTGCAGGGTCCTTATGTGTTCCTGAGTGGACAAATGTAATGAAGGAAGAAATCAATGCCCTGCACAAAAATGGCAAGTGGGAGTTAGTAGATCTTCCTAAGGGAAAGGAACCTGTGGAGTGAAAATGGGTGTTCTCTGTGAAACATAAGGTAGATGGAACAATGGAGAGATACAAAGCTCGCTTGGTAGCAAAGGGTTTTACTCAGGTTTATGGAGTTGATTATGTAGAGACTTTTGCACCTGTGGCAAAGATGAATTCTATCTAGATTCTTCTCTCTTTAGTAGCAAATTTGGATTGGGAACTCCATTAATTAGACATCAAGAATGCCTTTCTGAATGGTGATTTGGAGGAGGAGGTGTACATGATCCAACCTCTTGGGTTCTGTGCTAAGGGCAGTGAACAAAAGGTATGCAAATTGAAAAAGTCTCTATCTGGTCTAAAACAATCACCAAGGGTTTGGTTTGGCAGATTTCATCAAGCAGTTCAACAGATGGGTTTTAAACAATGTCAGACTGATCACACTCTCTTTGTGAAGAAAGAACAAGGAAGAACATTAGCCTTGATTGTTTATGTGGATGACATAGTCATTACTGGTGATTGGGTCTCAGATATTCAGAGGGTAAAGAACTTCTTGGTCACTCAATTTGAGGTAAAAGATCTAGGACCTCTTCGTTACTTTCTTGGAATTGAACTTGTTCACTTCCAACAGGGTTTCTTCATCTCTCAAAGGAAGTATACCCTAGATCTCTTGAAAGATATAGGAAAACTTGGAGCCAAACCGGTCGACAATCCTATAGACGTAAATCACAAACTCGGGGACTGCAATGATGAGCCCATAAAAGATGCAAGGCAGTACCAAAGACTTGTAGGTAGACTCCTATACTTGTCTATGACCAGGCCTGATATTGCATATCCAGTAGGAGTCCTTAGTCAGTTCATGCATGCTCCCAAGGCTGCCCACTTAGAAGCAGTAGATCGGGTTCTTTGGTACTTGAAGAAATTCCCAGGGACAGGCCTCCTCTTCAAGAATCATGGACATATGAAAGTTGAGGTTTACACTGATGCAGATTGGGCTGGCCCTATAGATGACAAAAAATCTATAAGTGTCTATTGTACCTTTGTGGGGGGAATCTTGTTACTTGGAGAAGTAAGAAACAAAAAAGTGTGGTGACTAGACAGATCTAGTGCAGAAGAAGAGTACAGAGCCATGTCTCATGGAGTTGCTGAAATACTATGGATTAAAAACCTGTTAGGTGAATTGGGGTTTTCCCTTGATGGTCCCATGTCACTCTACTGTGATAATAAGGCTGCCATCAATATTGCAGGCAATCCTGTTCTCCATGATAGAACCAAGCACATTGAAGTGGATAAACACTTTATTAGAGAGAAACTGGAGAAGGGAGAAGTGTGCACTTCATATGTCAGCTCCGAGGAGCAACTTGCAGATGTTCTCACCAAAGGATTGAACTCCTTGTGGCATTATGATCTTTGTGACAAGTTGGGGATGATTGATATCTACACCCCAACTTGAGGGGGAGTGATGTAATGTTCAGTTGTTATGTGCCGCAAGGGTGCAAGGGCTGTCTTTTCCTTTATTTTTTTGTTATGTTCGGCTACCCTAAGATATAAATACAAAGCTGGCGTTGCCAGCCTACACTTTTTGCCTCTCCATTTTTCTTCTTCTCTTCTCCCTCTCTTCTTTCTTCTTCTTTGAAATCACCAGTCTTTCCTGGATTACCCATGCTGCTTTCAACAAAATTAAGCTTAATTAGATTACAACTAGGAGCTTTCCACTTAGGGGAAAATGCTGCCCATGTGATTGAAAAGTTGGCTACACCATACGATCCTCTTGCAATGTCATTCATAGAAAATGGGTCATACAAAGACAGTTTTGACCCAATTATCCACCTTAATCAAGATATTCTCAAATGCCACCTCCTTTGAGTAAGAAACCTCTTTGAATATCCTCCCATTTCTTTCTTGCTATATAATCCAGAGGATCACCCCCCTTACACAGTCCCCAAGAACCTTCCCTCACATCTTAGAAGTTTTAAAGAATGATTCATCAAACAATCTTCTCACATCGCTGGGTGGATCCTGGTCTGCAGCCAAACAAAGATAAGACTTGCTCCCAAATGCTATAAGTGTAGGGGCCGGAGATTGATAAGTTAGAATTAGTCTCAGCACTTGCTCTACAAAGGAAGCACAATCTTGGCATTATGCAATAGTTGGGCCTTTTCTTTTGTAGGACCTCACAAGTATTGATTGTTCTATGTGCTACTTCCCAACAAAAAGCCTTTACGTTGGGTTGCATTGGTCCTTTCCAAATTTCTGTAGCTTGAAATACAACAGAGGTCCTACAAAGGAGGTTGATAAGAACCATGAAGATTTATAATCCAATCAAGATGATCACTGTTCAATGGGTCAAGGAAAACACCATTAAGAGAGCAAAGGAGGTTGATAGCAAGAGAAGACTCAGGAATCAGGATCTCTCAATCCTCCTCTAAATCCCAAATCCCAAGAGAACCCAGACTGAGAAGATCCACAATAAGCAATAGAATTGTTCTTATGGAGGGAGAGGGAATAAAGAGATGGGAGCTTGTCTTTCAAGGGTTTGTTTCCCCACTATAAATCTTCCCAGAATCTCATCCTTTTCCAGTGGGAAGCATCAAATCTTGTATAACAAACGAAGGACATGGAAATGTTGTAAATGGATTTCCAAGTGGCTGTCTGCTGTAATCCTACAGCAGAGAATTGCAAAAGAACTGCGATGCAGCAGCAGGAACATTAACATACTCCCAGTGAAGAATTATGCACATATCTATCAATTGATCCGGGATAACTCTTATTGTTATCATGGGGAGAGACCCTTGGTGAGTTACTTTGAATCCTTAAGGAGTATGTGGACAGAACTGGACAAATTTAATCCTTATATGCCAGTTTGTGACAAAGATGCATGTATAAGAACAAATTAGATAGGACTAAACTGTAATATTAAATTTCCCTTAATTATACATCTTGTTTGTTTCAATGACTTATTTTTTCCTGGAAATACTTCGACTGGTTCGTTCACTGATAATAATTTGGTATTATGATTGTTGATTCTGGGGTTTTGGTTCTATCTTCTATTCGTGGAGGTAGATTATAGTTTAGTTAAGCACAACTTCCATGTATTTATCAATAGTTATCAAAAACTTGATGTATTTTTTTCCTAGGATATGTTGACTGGCTTCTATAATGAAACTTTGCTTTGCAGGATATGACAAGCATTTTATCAAGTTACTCCTGCAATTGGCCAGGAGTTCAGGAGAATCGTTTTAAGAGCAGAGTTGATAATGTTAAATATGTAGGATGTTCAGGCCTACATTTCCCTTTCGGGGGATCAGTATTTGATGGTCAATTCCTTGTTCTTGGTGGCTACAGGGAAAGGCCTAGGCTCCATAGACCTGTATTTTCCAGTGCAGTGGACGATGGTATTGAACCAGATGACTCAGAAGACAAAAGTAGAGAGGAAGAATCTCCAAAAAATGAAATTGGAAGAGTATGTTGAACACCTGTTTGTTTCCTTTGCACCTGGTGAAATTTGCAACATTACTTGGATGAGAACTCTGGTGTCTGGTTGGAATATTGCTCTCTCATAATCAGAAAAACTGACAACTCTGACCAGTCTATTGCTGGGGGCTAATCATAACATGGTCTACAGCTTTTGGTCCAAAGTTTGAATGGTCTTAACATTCTAGCTGCTGATTGTATAGGGCTTCTGCCAATTATCATCATCTGCCATTTTCTTTGTTCTATCAAGGTCTTCCATCCATACTTTAGTTGTTGAATAATTTTTAACCCATAAAACTGACTGACCGTGTCTATATATTGATTGAGTACCAGCTGAGCCAATATTTCACTTAAATTTCCAAGGTTCTCTTGCAGCTGTAATGTCATAAAAAACCATTGGTTCTTCCATTAACATATTTTTCCAAGGCAAAATTGTGTTTTAATTTTTTTTAAAGTGGTGAAGTTCTTTGTTGGTTTGACTTAACCTAATCTTAATTGGTGGGTTGAAACTCATTGATTGGGATGTCCAACTCTCATCATATGCACCACTTATGAGCTGTCATTGACTGATACTTCTGTTGTCTACCATCACATGAAATGTAATTCTTCATTTAAGTTCATATGCATGCTTTCCTGCACCAGAAAGCCCTATATGATGTGTATATTCCACCTGTATTTGTATCTATAACATGAGGAAGAATACATTTTTAAGATATTAGCTTTCTCAATCCTTTTTTCAGGCAAACAATGAATTGTTTCGTGAAAATTTGGAGAGAATTGTTGGGACAGATGATTCAACCTTCAGTGGAATAGACCTTGCTACTCTTATTAGAAATAAGTATGGGAGGTCCTATGATGTTCAATTAATAAAGAAGGTATTGTTTGCCTTTGGAAATTTGTGGCTATGTAAATGTTTAAAAAATATCTTGGTCATTGTTCTTTCTTTTTGACATGTTTTTTCTTTCAGATATTGAGTTATTATCAATGAGTTGAATTACTTAATCACTTTGTACCTGATGGCTACAATAAATGAGAACTGAAATTGAGTCTTCATACTACTACTACTACTACTACCCCCCGTTGTGTAGCCCTTCAAATGATAAAAAAAAAATACTAATATAGTTATAGTGGCGATAATAATAATTGTCATCATCATCATTTTATTATCTAAGCCTTGTCCCAAGTCCCAACCATATGAGGTCAGCTACATGATTCCTGTTTCGCCATTCCATTTCTATTCAGTGCCAATGTGCCATATCTATTGTTAAATTATGAGTGCTTAAATTATTTCTTACTATTGAAAGTTGAAACAGAAATGCACCTATTGGCTATTTTCCATTGCTGTTTTTTCTTTCTTTTGTTTCTTATGGACATAGTTATTTGGCCATGGTCCTATTTTATTTTTGGTCTTTTGTTACTGTTGCCTTACTAGGGTTACTTATGTAATTTTACACACATTTCCAGCAGCTATATAAGAAAGTAGGGGTCTCATTATAGGACCTATGATCTGATTTTCTCTTCCTTTTTCTCTTCTTATGTATTTTCTTCTTTTAAAACCTGTTTTTATTTGTTCTTTTAACACCATTTTCAACAAGATGGTATCAGAGGAGGACTCAGATGATGACACAAATGTTGATAATGAACAAATTTGACTATGGGGTTTCTTTGGTGTTTGTTCTTTCTTATGTTATTGTTTTTGGTTAGTTTCCATTCAGCTTTTGTTTAGTTTTGTTTTGGAGCAGCTACAGTAACCCGAACCAGTGAAGAAGGAAGAAGAAGATGAGGAAGAAGACAAGAGAAAGAGAGAACAGGAGGGTTTAGTCGAAATTGATTAGTCTCCCATTCAGTCGACCCCCTAATGTTTATTAGGTTCTAATTACACTTACAAAGACTAAACTGCCCT